AGATGAATAGGCAAATATATTATTATTATTATTTACAATGGTAAGTAATCAATTTTAAAATAACATGTATAAATAAATTATTTTCCGTGAACAGCTGGTTACTTTTTATACTGCCATCATGTGGGTAAATACTACCTACATATAATACAATTATGTTTTGAATACCCCATACTGATTGAAAAAAAAACACATAAGTTTATATAGAAACAAAATTGTTATTAATTGTGAGAGCATATTATTACTGTTTACCGTTAAATATTTCTTTCGATTTTCAAATCTAAATAACTTTTATTGTACTGACTGTATTAGGTATAKTATTCAATTCCACATTCAGAATAATGACAAGGTGTTTATTTTTTTTCTATATTTAAATACGAGTACATAACCTACTTAAACCAACACTATATTTTGTTATATATTTCTATGGTAATCAATCTTTATGAGAAGTGCTGTCTCTCTGCTCTTTGTCTCTTTTCCGAAGGGTTAAAACTTTAAATCCCCGTTATACGTTCAGCGTTCATAATTTGAAATCATCGAATCCCAGTGGATATAAGCCGAGCCACGAGGGTAGCTTCTATAACTAATTTGACCATTCCAATGAATTTTATTGACCGTAAACAAATTAAGGGGGAGTTTTTGTGTGTTTGCCGTTATTAACATATTAATACTATACTATCAAAGCGTATAGAAATTAAAGAAATATAAAGTCCTTCTATATATCCACAATATAATATAGGTCATTAATTTCCGATAATGTATGTGTTCAAAAAGTCGGGTAACTATATAATGCATTTTTATTTTATTTTAACAGTGCAGTGTGTTATTATTATTTTATTTTTCATTTAAGTTTTTAGATCGTTATAGATATAATACATTTCTGCTTTTATTAAAAATTTTAGTATAGAGTAAGGTTATTGATAGAATCTAAAAAAGAGTCTGATTATTCCACAAACACTACAGCATTTATTTCATATATCTTCATAATTTCAACATTCTGTGCGGATGGTGATACAATATTTAATTTTGAGATAGAGTTCACGCTTTTCGCACAATATATCTACATAKATGTCCTTGATTCGCTATTAATAGTAACTACGTGTCAATCTAGCACATGGTCGATACTATTATATACGATTTATTGTGGTTTCTTCTTTTCTATTTAATTTAGGGTCGTACCATTTTTCAATTGTCTTCTCGTTTTCATCGAGGTTATAGTGCCGTATTATTTTTCAGCGGTTTCACCATTTTACTTTGGATATAAGTTTAATCAAACAATGCTTTAAACTGTGACAGATTTATCTGATAAATCTTGAGCTTAATATTAAATATATGAAATATTATAGTCAAGGCTAAGCCATATGTGACAACCTATCATTTACAAATTTTAATGTCACCATATTTAAGAACATTAGTACTAWCAATCAACAAATAGAACAAATCGAGATAACTGCGGTCAAATAAATTACGGAAAAACAATCAAAATAATAACACCATACTTTATTAAAGGCGATTCTACAATCTACAGCATAAAAATGATTTATATAAAACAAGTATATTATATTATTTAATATTCAAAATGTCTATACTGAATTTCCCGAAACTTCAAAAAACCATTATTTGTTATTAGTGTTTTTCATAAATTATTTACGAATGAGTTTGTTTGTGTAGTTTGGTATAGAATAGGATAAGTGCTAAGGCGGTCATATTATGAATGTGCGAGCTGATCACTTATTTATAAATACATAATATTTTGTCATGGTCTTAATAAATATAAATATATAATAACACAAATAATTAAAAAGTCATAGTATTTTATTACTTTATTTAATATAATTAAATGCAACAGTCTGTACGATACGTTTGAGCAATGCATATTAATTTATTTTTAAAATCAGTTATTGCCTTACTAGTCTTAGCACATTTTAACAAAGTAGATTTATTTTTTGGTGTAATTGGAGTAGTAAAATTGGCACTATTTATATTATTGAAAATTTTCATCAGAACACATCAGTCAAAATGTTTAAAAGTATATTTATATTATGTGTGTGGTTTATACAACCGTTGATTAAAGTGTGAATGAAACGATTCATAATTTATTGTTGATAGTTAACCATACACTTTCTGCTATTCTGCCATACATACCATAGTTTTGGAGGAAATTTCAAATTTTCATGTACCTATATACATTTCTAATATTATGAATATAAATGGTTATTATTATTATTCTTATTATTATTATTATTATTCAATCAAATACAAAACAATCAGATACATCTTATGAATTTTGATAAACCAATCCAAATGTATGCTTTAACTAATCACCTATCTTATTCGTAAGCGAAAATTATACCAAGTTCTTAGGTTTTTTTATACCTTCACTAAATTAAATGAAATATTCATCCTTTGATAACACAACTAAGCCATACTGATYTGACAGTATTTTTAATCGCTATTGTAAAGTTTATTACTATATTTTTTAGATTTAATATTAAATTATATTCATTACATTTATTATATAATACGCTATGACCTTTTTGAATCTTTTTTTTGCGGGACGCAACTCACCTACTGATAATAATTTCGGACGCAAGTAGTATGCTCCCCTTTCTTTTGATTAATTTAGTCATCGGGTGTGACTTGACATTCAAAAATAAGTTAAAGAAGTAGGTWATGAATAAATTACAAATATACAGTTTTCATTCACGATGATGTACCGTTTTGTAGTGGAACCTTACTGCAAATAGTAATATTGGATTATGAATCAGCCTCACCGTCTAAACTAGTTGAACTAATCGCAGTATTGATAGGGACAGTGATATTAGTGGCTGTCTGGTCCTGACTTCTGTCAGTATGGGTTGATCGTACTAAAAGATGAGGACAGTTTTGTATGCACAACTGATGGAGAATTGGACCAAATGGTCTGTCGGAGTCCCAGTGGTCGCAATATGAGGTGTTCCAGTGGACGTTTAATAGTAAACCAAGGGACTATACGAACAGACAACAATGAAACGCATGAACTTGGAAACCCGATCCTAATTATTACAAAACTTAAAGGTACTAAGGARCATTAAAGAATGGGTGAATGGGAAAGCGGACGGGTTAGATAACATGTTCTCAGAACAGATAAAACACTTCGAACATGTGGTCACAAGACTATGGCTGTAAAATCTTTTTAAAAATATCAGAGTTACTTTAAAGATCCCGAAGATCTGAAGGAAGGCGAAAGTAATAGCTCTGCTAAAGCCAGGAAAGGAACCTGATACTCTATCTAGCTACCGGCTAATCTCCCTATTATGTCACACATACAAACTATTTGAAAGAATTCTCCTAAATTATATACCCTGCCATTAACGACTAACTCATAAAGAAACAGTCAGGTTTCCGTCCGGAGAAATCATGTACAGGGCAGATATTAAATCTTACGCAATAATATATTGAAAACGGGTTTGAAGAGAAAAAAGGTACCGGGATATCCTTTATTGATATTTTGTCCGCATACGACACGGTTAACCATAACTTATTGCTTTCTAAAGTATATCGTATAACCGGAGACTACAAATTTAAGCAAATCATTCAAACACTATTGATCCTATAAGTTGAGTTAGACATATAATTTAAATATTTTTATGTTGCCACAGATGAAATGAATACTTCAAAAAATATATTTCAAAGAAATAATAATACAATATTATTCTTATGTCACTTGTTACAAAAACACTAAATAATCGTATACAAGATATTTTTTTTTTT